CAAACTAAAACACGACACGTCGGTTTTGGAAAAATGGGATTCTTGTTTCCCTTCAACGTGAAACGACGCCGTTTTGTCTTTTTTTTTTTTTTTTTTTTTTTTTTTTTTTTTTTTCTTTCCTCCGATGATCGTGGTGAATTCATTCTCCTTTAGTAATTAAAATTAAGGTAGGCAAGATTTCATCCATTTTTGTGTAGCCCTTCTTTTCATATCCCTAATCGTGCTAAAACAAAGTCTACTCGACCTCGAAATATCTCATTCATGACTCCTCAACACGGAGCGTTTCTATTTCTATGCAAAACCACGTACCAGAACCCATGGTAACCACTAAAACATGGTTTTACACAGAAAAAAATGGTAAAAATTAAAACTCTATAATATATATATTTTTTTTGTACAGTGAAAAAATAATATGTTTCACGTTAACATTTTCAATTTAACAAAAACAGAGAAGAATTATGGTTAAATATTACACATAAATTTGCATTAATCTTTCAATATAAAATTTATTAGAAAATTTCAAAATTTTAAATAGGGTAGGGTAAATTTATAAAATCTAATGAATTTCTAGAATTAACTAATTTAAAAATTATTAATAATCCTAAAGTAAGATTGGGAATAAATTAATTACCCAACAAAATAGGACCTTTCAAATATATTTATATTTGACTACGATACTTTGAGAGAAATTCTTGGAAAGTTCATTGGCACTCTATATTTCTCCATGGTAGTTGTGACTAATGGGCAGATTCTATCTAGAAGTTTGAATAAATTGATTTTTCTTGCCATTTTTAGTACCCTTTCATAATTTTTGTTTGATAATAATAGTTAGACATGAACATATTCTACAATTACAAGCAAGAAATCAAAACACCGACATAGAAATCATCTCAATCATATCTATGTGATTTAAACTCGAAACGAGCTAACTCAAAAAGAATTTAACTAGTTAAGGAAGATACCGTTAACAAAGGAGCTAGATGTTCAGACCTCCCACTCCACGCCATTGTTTCATGGAATAAGCTTCAAAGAATGTATAATGTATAATTTAAATCTCATATATACTCGAGTAACAATTAGACGGTATGATTAAGAACTAAAATTGGATATAAATAACAAGAGTAGTCTATATTTCTCCCAGGCCTATTTGGTTTACCTTTGACTTTTAAGTGTTTTTTTGTTCAAAAAAACAATTTTTAAAAGCTTTTTTTTTAAAAAAAAAAAACGGTTTAGAATTAAAACACTAAAAAAGTTGTACCAAAAGTCCGTACATACCTGAAAATTTATGCAGTTGCATCCGTCAAGATCAACAATGTTGTCTTCTCTTGACATTTCAAGAATATCTTAGAAGAAAAAGCGAACCGAAACAAGAATTTGAAGCAGGAGAAGCCTGCTTTCTTCTACTCAAATGAGCCAGGGCTTTATACATCATTTCCCTCAATCTCGAGGGAACGAAACCTCTAAGTTTTATCGCCTCAATTTGGACCTAATTGTCTACGATCAACAAGACGCAAATTGCTATCGACTGAAAAAGACCACGTAACTCTTCGTTTATGATTTAGTTGATTCACCAGCTTCACTAGTCTTAGCTTCTATGGGACATTGAGATACATATGGCTTGAGCTGCAAACAAAGAACAAGTCACTCAACATTACATTGACTTCCAACAGTTGAAGGGATGGAGATTAAACCATCGATTTTAACAACGGTAATCAGTGTATTATCCACTTAGGAAGTCAACTTGACACAAAAGGAAGTTTTCGTTTATGGTGTTTTCTTTAAACACAGAAACAAGAAATTTAAGTTCCTATATTAAAAGAACAAAGGAGATAGAATAAACAAGTGAACGAAAGTTTGAGGTACAATCCACAAGAAAAGGTAACTTGGAATGTTAATCTTAACAGTAAAGGAAATAGTATTAAAATAACCTAAAGCATTAAAATAACCAAGTTTCAAATCATCAATAGCATGGAATAGTGTAACTAAAGAAAGCTCCAAGCAATGCATTCAACCAAAGGATCCTACATGGTGAAGTGCAAAGAAATGTTGGGAGAATAATACATGCAAGTACGAGTTCCAAATCAAGTCAAGCCAAGCCTCCCCCAACCCCGGAAATCCATACAGCAAAAGAGAACATCAAACTATGCAGGGGACTGACAAACACATACCGATGAAGAGTAGTTGGATCAAGAGTGTGATTTGGTTTTTTACTAATAGTTCAAGAACTATTATCAATCAATGATATAATTTTGCACTTTGACCTTTCGAACGAATATGTACATCTAAATATGATAATGGTCGTTGACATACCAGAATTCAGCATGAAAATTGATATTGTCGTTCATCTTAACTGTTTTAAAATTGATGCAAGTTTTATTATACAGAATCACTAAATGGAGGATCAAAGCTTCAAGGGTATCAAGATGCAAGCTATTATTGCTCTATCACAATCCCAAAAAATTTTATTCAGCAGACAGAAGTTCCTTATATCTGCTTTCTCCACAAGCATCATTAGGAGCTCTTAGTCGCATTCTAAAAACAAAAACAAGTTCTAAAAATTCAAAAAAAATTAGTTTATAAAAACTTGTTTTGTTTTTTGAATTCGGTTAAGAATTTGAATGTTTCTTTAGCAAAGATGAAAATTACGTCAAAAATTTGTTGAAAGTGCGAGTATAATTTTCAAAAAACAAACAAAAAAAAGAAGGTTATGAAACTAGGGGTAAAGAGATGGAGTTGGGAAGGGAGAGATAACCATTTCTAAATTTTACATTAAACAACGAGGAGGAAAAAATACCTTGAAATCAGTCAAATCAGGGACGACATAGTTAGGCAGTTTCTCTGGCACCACAACGTATCCACCTGAAAGAAATTTCTAGGTTTTAAGTACAAATTTGAAACCTATAAACAGACTTCAAATCTGATATCTCATTTCTTTTCTTATTCTCGACCGAAGTCAGTAGAAGTTAGTAGAAGTTAGTAGAAGTTTCCATAACCATTCAAAGACTAAAATCTAGAATTAGAACTCACTTGCTGCTAAAATGAGTTGGACCACAAGAGGTAAGAGGTTGGAATCTCTACCCCAAATATTGTTCAATTAAAAATAAATTGGAAGCAACCTAATAATCACATCACATCTCTAGAAGCACTTGTTATCTTCCTAACACGGTCGCTAATTTAGTATAGAATTGGATCTTAACGGCACTAACTCAAACTCCTCATGCTGAATTAGTGTAGCACCAAAAGATAAATAACTTTTTTAGAGTGCAATCAACTAAACATCATACTTAAATCATCGAACGTTTTCATAAAGATATAAGCATAAAACCTAAAACTATAAGAGAATCAATACAAGTGCAAGAGGAAGTCTATCCACACCTTTGCGCGTATGAAAACCAGTAGGTTTGCAATTTTTTCCCTTATAGTAATCTCGTGGAGCTCGTTTTGACGAAAGAATGTCCAAAGATGATGTGCGCTTCCTCCTCATTGATCTTGCTAGTCCCAAAATCAGTCCCAACGCCATTTTTCCTCTCCTCCGCCTCACTCTCGAATTCGAAGACGAAGAATCTGAAATTTCTTCGGCTACCAAATGGTTCTCTCTGCCCTCTTCTTCGATCTACAGAACGAAGGCGGAGTTCAGACCAAATACGAGGCGAGTTAAGATTGGGCCTGGGCCCAGGCCCAATATTATGAGCCGGGTCGGGTTGGTAGTTTCGAATTTGGTATGAAGGGAGTGGATTTTCCCGGTGGTGAGGAGATTTTGTACCTCCATAATTTTTTTTTTATATAAATTATTTACTTATTATTATTAAAACAACATTTTTTTATCGTCTAAAATAAGGTTTTATTGAATTACCATTTAATTTATATGTTTTTCAAAAATACATTTTTTTAGGGTTTTCTAATAAAAAATAGTTTAGGATTAAAATACATTTTTCACATAAATTTGTTTGATTAACTCTACACTACACTTGTCATAATCGCACTTTGATAACAACGGACTAGCGATTGTGCAGCACTCACTTTTCAGCCGCAACTGAGTTAAGTCTATTCGTTCTTGTGTCGCCTAAGATCAAGTGATGTATGCTTGAGCCTCTGGCAGTTCAAGAAGAAAGTTTTAGAAAACGAAGATAGAGAGATTTCGAAAAAGGGTTTTGAAAGCAAAATTTGAGAAATTAAAATTAGTGTTATATGGGAATGTACGCAAAAGGCAGTAACAACGGCTTACTACATATAACTATTAGGTAGGGAGAAGTCACTTTTACTGATAATACTAATATCAAATTACTTTAAAGACAATTTTTGAAGATTGTTGATGAAAGTAGGGGCCAAAGTTGGCAAATATGGCTGCTAGTAATGGTTGAGGGTTGTCGGCGGTCATAACTGTAATGCGACGATATTTTGGTCAATTTCACATATCGTGAAAGTTCGAGAGAGATGTCAACAACAATATAAACTAAAAATGAGGTTATATCAAACATCCAGGATTAAAATGTCAAGTACAATTCGACGATTTCGTTTGTGTTTATGTTTTGCCAATTTCTGATGTGAATTCAGCGGGCCGTCCCACCCTTCCTACGAGACCCACCGACCCAGTTGCTTTCTATAGTTATATGATTTCAACATGCATGAATGAAAAAAAAACAAACATTAATGAATTCCATTTACATTTCCACAAAGAGGAAATTGAAGTTTTCATCTTCATTTCCCATTTGCTTTCATTTCTTTCTTTCTTTCTTTCTTTCTCTCTTCCTTTTCCTTTTTTCCACCTTTATTTTGCTCTACAACTCACTCACAACCCTAAAGTTTATCCCATTCTTTTCACAAGCCTGACTTTGTGGGAGCTTTGTCGCCTGTCACTCTCCCTCTTTTTAGCTCAAAGTCTTTCGATTGTAAACACGTCATACTCGTCCCTTCAATCTTTGGGGTGCAAATACTTTCCCCAAAAGCCTTAAAAGGAATTATACTTTTAAACCAAATTAATTTGAGCATAACACATCTGAACATTAAAAGCCTTTAATTTAATCAACGCTAAGAGTATCTCTTCATATGGTTGTATTAATAATAATCTTCTCCCTTTTAATCGGCATGGGACTATTATACTTTCATCCCAACATGAAATCACTCTTTAAATCTTGTCTAAACAAGACAGAAAAATAAGGCGATGAAGGATAATAGTTGAAGAAGATGGAAGAACACATGGGTTTACCAGTGGAGGGAGGGAGCTTGATCAACAGAGCAGAAATTGCAAGGCTCCTCTGTATTGAACAAGCTTTGATCTTCATTCATGGCCTTCGTAAACTGAGTCTGATTCTCATAAACTTTCCTGGAAAGTTCAAAGGAATTCAACATCGAATTCAGAGAAGAGTTGTTATTAGTGGAAACAAATGAGTTCTTCTCATCTTTCAATTCCCTTTGAATTTTCATCTTTGTTCCTTCTCTGCTTACTTTTTCCCTCAACTCTCTCACCTGCCAACGTTTCAACATCAGAATTAGAGCATCAAAAAGGCCAAAACCAGTTTTCCAAATTAAAAATGGAGTTTATTTTCACTACCTTTGAAGCAAGAGAAGCATTTTCTTTCTCAAGAACATCATAATCCAGCTTAAGAGCATCGTAATTGGCTTTAAGAACTCCATAATCTCTCTCTAATTGCTTTGTTTTCCAACGGGCTCTGCGATTTTGAAACCAAATTGTTACTTGCCTTGGCTCGAGCTCTAATTCAGTAGCTATCTTCATTTTTCTCTCTGGTTCGAGCTTGTTTTCCACTTCAAAATGTCTCTCCAAGGCCTTCACTTGGTCCGGCTTCAGCCGGCGTTTTCTCTCCGGTGCCGAACCGCTGCTTCCACCGCCATCTTCACTGTTGTCTTCTTCCTCCAAACTGTCTAACATTGCCTGAAACTCCTTGCTGTATCCGCCTATGGTGGTGGAGCTCGGTTGCTCTGAAAGAAAAACAGAGACCTTTTAGAATCCCAAAAAAAAAAAAAACATAATTTCCTTGCTGGGTATTTGGTTATGAGCATTATTTACCTTTAGGGGTGAAGATGGAACTGAAAGAATCCAAGGATTCTGGGCGATCAAATCTCATCATCATCACTGCAAATGAAGAAGATAACAAAAAACAGAGCAAATGGCGGAATTTTTATGGTGAAACCAAAATGATACTGCTTCTGTCTCTCTCAGCTTTCATTTCCTCAATTTTTTTGAGACAGAGCCAAGCATTAGCTGAAAAGAAGTTCCTATGAGGCTTTTTCTTAGCAAGTGGAATGGCAGAGAGAAAATAAAATAAAATGAAAATGAGATTTGTTCTTTGAATTATTGTCTAATCATTATGGATGAAATGAGTAAAGGGAAGGGAGTGAAAAATACAGTCTTTTTTGAAATGGTATACTTAGGGAATGGTGTGTAGGCTTTTCACCTTTTGTTGTTTTTATATAATCAGATTTATTCTCTTAAAAAGCTCTAAAAAAGCACCGCTTCTGCTTTCTAAATCGCTTTTTTGGGGAGGGTTCTGATCAAGGACCAGTTCTTAGCTTTGCTGGATTATGGATGGGTTGTGGCCTGGTTTTCCCTTTTGCCTTTTATCGTAGATAGACATTTATGACAACAGAATTGCTTTTCTTTTCTAAATAAAAATATAATTAAAATAAGTTAACGAAAAATGACTGTCACGATGAAAAATTCTCATAAATCCTTACATGCATGGTGAAATCTATGGGACACCATAAGAACAAAAACATCTAAAAAAATTGAAATAAATTAATCTTAAGTAGTCTGCTCAAAACCTTTAATAAAAATAATTTTACAAACAAATATAGAATTTGTTTGAAATTTTGCTTTTAGAAGACTCTTGTCTCCTTGTTTAACACGTGCTAGACACATGCAGAGGATAAATTGTCATATAATTCCTGTAATTTTCATGAAATTATATGCAATTACTAGTAGCCAATCTAGAGTATGGCAACAATTAGGCATCAGTAAGTTTTTGGCTCAAAGATTTTAATCCCCAAAACAAATAATATATAGAAAAAATTAAAAGCAAGAATTGACACACAAGAAATTTAGAAAAAACATGGAGGAAAAAGATGAAATAACCCAAAACAAGTAAATTCCATACTATTTTCCACCTATCTACCTTCGAATCATTTGTCGTGGATATAATTTACTTTACATCTATCTATCGTCAAATGACTATTGAGTCTTTTGAAAATTTGAACATTCAACTTTAGAAAAGATAATAACCGTTGAAAACTTGGGTATCTGAACCCAAAAAATGGGACAAACAACCTAAGAGGGCTAGAGGAAGAGCGTTTCCCTACCCACAGAAAACTAAAGAGGAGATTTCCAGTGGTAAATAATCATGGAAAGGCTATAATTAAAAATGAATTTCTTCTGAAAAAACATACCATCAAGCCGAATTGAGTTGTACTGTACACTTCTACAAAAAGACTCAAAAGAAGAAGACTTATCTTCGAACATAGGATGAGACATTTCCAACCAAAGATGTTAGGCGCACTCTAGCTGCGCAATTCCAACGGACTTCAGCCCGTTTAGATAAGCTCCAACCCCCAAGGACTTCTACTGACCAAATGCCAACGTGCTTGGGCATACAAACCGAAAGGCCAAGGATGTCAAGAAGGAAAGACCAAGCTTTGGTAGCAAAAGGACAATGTAGAAAGATGTGGTCAATGGGCACTTCACTGTTTACATGTCCTTCGGAGGAGATTCTGTGTTTAAATTCCTCTGAGCTAAGGACCATAAGAACACCATGACTTTCTTTGGAATTCTAGACTTCCTTTTCGAGTGAAAGGGCTCCTTGTCATCACCATCCCCCAGCAGACAACATAAAGCTTCTGGACTAACCCCAACCAACTATCAAGTTCTCTACCAAAAAACCCGCTTCTCAAGACCAAATCTCAGTCCCTTGAATCTTCTTTCTTGCAATCGACAATGGAAGCCTCTTATAAAAAATGTCCGGAAAACAACCTTCAAAGTGTTTACCCCAATCCATTTGTCCTTCCAAAACCTGATTTTTTCCCCTTGACGAGCCTTGTCGTCCAAAAAAACACCTACTGTTGTTTGCAATTTCAAACCATGGCCTTCCTTTTGCAACTCCTTTCAGGGAGGGTAGACCAATTGTGAGGATCTTCACAATGATACTAGAAACAACCCTCTTCCATAAAGCAAAGTTTTCTCGATTACACCTCCAAAGCCATTTGAAGAAGGGCATTGTTGTTTTGTTAAAAAGCCTCGACCCCTAAGCCTATATATTGTAGAGGGAGATAAGTTTTCCCCCAATTTACTAAGTTACTACAAGAACACGTCGAGCTAAAGCCACATGAGAAGAAATTCCTAGCCATATTCTCAATTTCATTTATGATTCTCCTTTGAGCTTTGAGGATGGAGAAATAGTACAGAGGAAGGCTATTTGTCACCGATTTTGCAAGAGTCAACCCACCACCCTTCGGAAGAGTACAATTCTCCATTTATCAACCTTATTCCTGACCTTGTCGAACATCGGGTCCCAAAATGTTTTGTTCTGAAAATTACCTCCCAAACGTATACCCAAATAGGAAAAAGGGAACTTTTCCACTCTTCATCCCAGCTCATTTGCATTTAACATCAAGATATCCTCTTAAATGTTGATGCCTATTAAAGAAGTTTTGGTCAAATTGAGGGAGAGACCCAAGACAAAACGGAATTTTTTTACCAATAACCACCAATTAGCAAGAAAACCCCCCTCAGGGCAAAAAATGATGGTGTCATCAGCATATTGTAAGTGAAAGATTTCCTCCTCCCTACGGTCCACTGCGAAGCCTCTAATGAACTTTCTCTGACAACAAAGGTGCACTAACCGGCCGAAGGAGTCTACAATGAGAGTGAAAAGAGGTTTTCAACTTCAACGCGGACGTGTGACCCTTGAAAAGTTTGAAAGTTCACTCTTGCGCCAGGTCGTGGACTTCCCAAGAGGTTAGGATACCGAATTTTAACCATGGGATAATTTTGACCATCTTGAACCCTCCAAGTGGATCCACTGGATTTGGGCTAGAACACCATTCCATTTACAAAAAAAATCAGCAGCTTCCAGCGAGAAGCCTCCGTGAGCACCAAAATAACTTCTTTGATCAACAAGTTTCCATTGAGCATGAAAAAAATGGTTGCCATGGACTAACTGGATTTCTGCAAGGACAAAATCACAATAATTTTCGTCTCTCTTAGAGCCACATCTAAGCAATCAATGAGGCAAGAATTAATATTTGAATAGTCCACAAACCCCCAGAGTATTGCCAATCGCCTTAAAAGTTGCCAGACTCCATAAATGAAGAGGCTCACCTTCACCCAATCCCCATACGAAGGCACAACGTTTATTCTACCATGAGTCTAAGAGTTCCAAACTTCCATCTTTCAAGTTAGAGGCCCAAAAGTCACCCATCCTTTACTGGTCGCAAGGAGACAAGCACAATCAGCAAAAAGACACCTCAAAAAGCTATATCTGGCTGGAACGAATTGATGAAGAAAGAGTTTTAGGTTTGTCTTTGTAATCTTCATGAAAATCTCTGCAAGTAACGACAATGGTTTCTGCTCAGTTCGCCTCTCGAACCTTTGCGTGTTTCTAGCTTCTTACATTGTGGACCAAAAATTGTCGGGTCCAATCTTTGAGCTTTCTCAACAAACACAGTCTTCTTTTACGCTTTCTTCTCATCTTTCTCCCCTATTTCTGCAAAAGAAAAGTCTGGCACTACTGAATAACCTTTGAAACTTCACTCTCGATCTTCACTTTGTCCCTTCCATTCATGAAGACAAGAAGGAGCCACCAGAAAATGCCAGCCTACTCAGGATTCGAGGGTCCTCTATATTTCTTTAACCACTATAACTCAATAAAGTTGACCTCTATATTATAGTATAGGCTAAAACAATTAAAAAGATAAAAATTAGTTATACGTCTATTTCTAAGACATAACAGGCGAGATCAAGTCTTCTGTGGTGAACGACCAAACCCCATAAAAGAAAATTACAGAACAAGCATTACTGATAGAAAGCGATCTACAGGAACTCCTACTTGTTTGAATTAGATAAGAATATATGAAAGATCAGACAAGTGAAATTAAATAAATGTGAATTAATAATTATAGTTGCTACTGTATGGAAGAATTTCACAATAGTTCGTGTATGAAACAAAAATAGAAGGCATAGGCATTAATATGCAGTAATAGCTAATGAAGCAGCATAGACGGCCTACAAATCATGCTGCATTTTGGTGATCTCGTCGAAAAAACTTGATTCTATTAGTGATAACTCTTTGAAGTGATAACCTAATAAAGCATACCTGACCAGGTTTGATGTTTAATCCACGGATGAAGACAGAGGAGTACAACAGGAGGAGATGTCGATACCAGCAACCTCCATAGCTTTGCAGACCCATTGCGACAGGAAAATGGCATTACTAACAAAAAAAATTTAACTACAAAATCAATGACAAAAAAGGCACCCACAATCCAACATCAAGAGGCAAAACGAAATAATACCTCGAAATGAAGCGCCATTAAACCAGTATTTCAACTTCATCCACGATTAGCCCTACATTCAGTAGATAAATCGATAGATATAAATGAAAGTCATATGAAATAAGAACTCCATCAAATAATTGTGGTCTCTATATTAGCTTGATGATTTTGTTAAAGAAGCGTATACCGAGACCGAGAAGAGTGACTGAAGAGGGATTAAACATGCGTAAATCGGCAGAATGGTAGCGAATGAATTGGATAATATACATGCCAATTTATAAGGCCGATATCGCAGTGGAAATAAAATTGAAACCCAGCCAATTGATCTTCACTTTAACCAATTAAAATGTACAGTTCGATCAAGAATATACGATTAGCAAACAAAAATAGCGCGCGGTAGCCGCCAGCGGATTACAAACCATAAGGTGGATTGAGGCGCCGCCGGCTGCCCCTCTTCCTCGACTTCCGTTCCCGGAATTGCAGCAGCCGATTTGGTAGCGTGCGCGCGCAATCATCTTGTTTAATTTTTTTCTTGATAATACTTAATTAATAAAAATATTTTCTCTCGCTCCTTATCTCACAAATACTTTATTAATAAATTGAATTATTAATAATTTTAAATTTTTATTTTTAAAAATTTAAAAATATCCACAAAAATTTAAAAGTCTTTTTTTTTTAATTAAGAACCTAAAATTAATTTTTTTAACTAAAAACTTCAATATTTGTATTAAAAAATTTAAAATAATTAGTTTATTAAATATAAAATAAAATTTGGCGTTAAACAAATAATTTAATGAGTTTGGGCGTGATGTTTGCATGGCCATCCATGATGAGACGATCCATTTGGAAAGAATAGAACATGTCGAACATATTTCGGGTCATAAACAATCCAAATCCGAACGAGCAATCCGAAGGATAAACGATCTTCGGGCCATTGGCGCAAGCTGTCAAGCGCCATCGGAATCAAACTCTTCGATTCTCAATCTCAATCCCAATTTCAAACTCCCACCTCATTTACCTACTGCAATACGAAGATCCATAATCTTTTCAGTGTTTCGAGCTCAATCCGATCTTACAGAGCATGCTCATTACTGGCATTGACAATCTACTCAACCGCTTGCTTGATCGGAATCTTAGGGAAGATACGCCAATCGTCGACCAAAGGTTGGAATCATTCATCTCTGTTTCATATCGTTTGATTTATATTCAATCTAGGAGCTGCTGCACGCTAAGCTTTTTACAGCTGACTGATCTTTTGATGTTCATAACATTAACTTTGTTTCTCTTTGGTCGAAATCTGAACGGAAATGACTTACTTCTTCTGTTTATCGAATGGTTTTGGAATGTATCAGCATCCTCAAGGCTGTCCTCGATGGCATATCTCTGGTTAATTTTTACTTTTATTGTTATTATTATTATTTGCAGTTCTACGTGTTCGAAGCTCAATATTTAGTTCCAGGGAGTAGAATTGCGCTATTTGGAAAATGCAGCACATTCCAGCCACTCTCGAGGAACAGTTGTTACTGAAAGCAATCAAGGAAGAATGTTCTTGGGAGAGTCTCCCGAAACGGCTGCAAGCTACTCTGTCCTCCAAAGAAGATTGGCATAGAAGGTTAGAAACATGTTTTGGTCGTCTTTATGTTTTACCTTGACTCCTCCGGTGGTGCACTTATGGAATAGATGTAGGTACGTCCCCTGTATCAGGAAACCAAAAGGTGTAAATTATCATAAATTGTCTTACAATTGAGGAATTTGCTCCCATGTGTTTTTTCACATTTCACTCATCCTATGAAATTTAGATATTTCAGACCTTATTGGAAAGGTTAGAGTTTAAGTGCATTAGCAGCCACAGATGATTTATGCCACACTCATGTAACGAGGTACCATTAGCCAAAATGTTCCTACTACAACCTTTGGGCAGACTTCGAGCTGTTATTTAGCTATAACTAAATCAGAAAAAGTGCCCCCTTAAAATTTTAGTTCAAGGATTCTGGTTTATCGCTGTTCTATTGGATTTGGTTTTTGTCTCATGCTACGGACTTATATACTGTTAGCATACACCCTTCCTTATAGAAATTTAGCCACCCTTCCATAGAGAACACTAACTAGAGGCCAAGATTGTAACCATCTCCCAAAAAGTTATCATCTTCTTTAAAAGAATCTCCTATTTATTTCCACTCACGATTTCCGAAGAAGAGATTTTGATGCATAGATGCAAAGGGTTATCCTTCTTTTACTTGAACGGATGTGTACAAAGAATTGGATTCAACACTTCTTTAGTGGTTTTAGGGAAACATCACCGGATGCCAAAAATGTAGAGCAAGACATACCACCATTTAAAGGTGTCAGTTTAAGAATTAATGAACGATTATTCTATTCCCTTTTATGCACTAATTTGGTAAAAGTTGGATACCAGTGTAGGTTTTTTTTTTAAATTTATTTAACCACTTGTATTGACTCCTCCCAAGCATAAAGTGCAGATAAAAAAATTAACCATTATATACAGAGTTTAATACACAGAGATACATTTCCTGGTGTCAGGGGCATAGGAAACATGTGCTGGTGAAGTTACCTAAAACCTCCGATAACCACCTGATTTATTATAATTTATAAATGGTTCTTTATAAATTTAATTTTTTGCTTGTCAATATCCCCCATTTGTTTCTTCAACTTCGTTTTTCTGTGCCATTACTTTGTACTATAAATTATTTGGTCCAAAAACTATACTTCATGATCTCTACTGTTTGGAGTATTTCTGGCAGAGTCCTAGTGCTTGGGTTGGGAAGACTAGTTTATTCCAATTCATTTGTCAAATAAGAACACTTCACTTTTTATTTCTTCAATGAGATATATTTTCCTGTTTATAAAAGAAAATTTCGTTATTGTTTATTTTAAAAAAAAATAATAATAATAATTAAAAAAAATCTTTCTTGTTAATATATTTCCTTAAGGAAAGCATATTCGGTATTCTGTAGTGTTTGAACATAAAGTGGCGATTTCCCTGTCACTTAACCAATTAAAAAGTTGTCTGGTTGGCAGCAGTTTAAATACTGGCAATTGACGGCATATAATGCTAAAAGATATGAGCATTATTAATCCAAGCTCTCCTGATTTATGAAATGGATCACTTTCTTCAATACTGATACATGCTAATTTCATGTAGGATTATTGACCACTGTATAAAGAAGAGACTCCAATGGAACACTAGTTTTGTTCGCAAAGTATGCAAAGAAAGTGAATATTATGATGATATGATGCGGTATCTGCGAAGGAACCTAGCGGTCTGTGTTGTAGCAAAAGTTCTCATATTATTTATTGATCCAGTACCGCCTTTGATGATTGCTAAAGTTCTACTGAAGTATAAATTTCTACTTATTAACTGTTGTCTTGTAAGGTACAACTATGGAAATTTTTGTTCTCAGAGATGGTTGCAATGTTTTGAACTAGATAACATGTTTTAAACTTCTATCAACTTGGAGTATTGCCACACAAGGATTGTAAAAAGACTAGTATTTACCTATTATTCAAAAAACCATACATGCTGTAAAACAAAAACCTAGGTTTGTTGGGGCTCTAACTGATGGGTTGGATATAGTGGCAATAGTCCTTCTACTCAACCAAGTAGTTATGAGTTAAAACCCTTTAGGGTCCATTCATTTATAATATTATCTCATGTATTTTGACCACAAATAGTTGGCAGTCTCTAATTCTTGACCTAATGAAGGTTGAGGGTCTCTTGAAAGGGATTGTTTTTGTACAAAAAGGTTCTTTGGTATCTGAACTCTGTCAGAATTTATAGACAAGAAAACTACATTGGGATGCACACATGTCACCACCTGATTTAAATTTTATTTTACCCCTCAAGTGTTTAAAACATGGACATTTTTCTTGCAGCTGTTTCCTTATCACCTTGCGGAGTATGTTTGCCGTGTAATGAGAATATCACCTTTTAGATATTACTGCGATATGATATTTGAGGTCATGAAAAATGGTTAGTGCTTCCTTATACAACTTATGCAATGCATTTACTTGGCGTGAGCCTATTATAAATTTATTAGTTAAGAATTAATTAAGTGTACTATACCACGTTTATAAGAATTGATCCTGTCGTAATCTAGTAGCTAAAACCTTGGAGGTATGTGATAATTCACCATGGTATGAGTGTAGGTGATTTTGAATTCAGATATTTGCTTTCATGTTCCTTCCCCATTTTGAAATAATTGTATGAATGGTGCACATTATGAATTCAAGTAATATTGGAGCCTGCCAATAATTGACAGGACATCTTATATATTGAATGGAATTAATTTGCATGACATAGATTAAACCAAGTGGTCGTGGAAAACCCCTAAAGGACCCAAACATCTTTTTGAGTTTACAAGTTACTGAACTTTGTAGGGTTGTTAAGTCGTTCAAACTTTAAGCTTAGAGATCATTTAGAGTTGTGAGACCTAGGTATTAAGAGAGTTTTTTTTTTTTTAATAGTTTTGTAGAACCTTTCTACTATTAATTTGATGTAGGCTAAACTTTAGTTCCTGGAGTTTCACTAAATCTCTTTTTCCAATTACTATCTTTCTTATAATACATGGTGGTCCTAAATTTATTCTATCACGCCTTAGGGACTTGTTTTTTCTTGAAAGTTGAGGAAGTCATGATTTCTGATAGTTACTGTGACTTGATAAAATGAATGTTAATATCAAATCAAGGAAATTGTTATGTTTTGAAGGAACAGATATGATTCTCTGCTTCATCCCTTGTTCAGCATCCTATATCCTTTTGATGGCTTTAGATTATTATTGTGACTTGATAGTTTCCACATGCTTTTCTTTCCTTGCAGAGAACCCTTATGATAGCATCCCAAATTTCAGTGCGGCTGATGCACTGCGGTTGACTGGAATTGGAAGGAATGAATTTATTGATATCATGAATAAGTGTAGATCCAAGGTACTAGATATATGTTTATGTGTTTTGTATTTATGGTTCATAATCGTGACTTGTTTAGCTTCAGTGTTCTTTTTCATGCTCTTTGACATCTGCTACTAGCACATCTTTTGCAAACATATTGTAAATACACAATACCTACAGACCTCACAGAGCCACTACCAAAAACTAGTAGAAATTTTCTTTAATATGGAAAGGACCAAGTATGTATTAGAGATGTTCCATGCCTTTATATCCATGTTCTCTAAAGATGCACCCTTGTCGGCAGAAAGCCATAATTTTTCATTTAATTGATTATGTACATTTACAATGGCATTGTCGTTTTTCCACCTGCAAATATTGGATTGTGTTCACATCACATGTGGAGCTTTTTTTAATCATTCGTCTGCGTTGAGATTGTTTGTACATTAATATCCTTTTCTTCCTTTGAGAAATCCAGAAAATTATGTGGAAGCTAAACAAGTCAATTGCAAGAGAACTTTTACCAAGTCAACCTATTGATTTTGTTGTCGATCCATGGTGGGGAGTTTGTCTTGTAAACTTCACGTTGGAAGAATTTAAGGTGAATT